GGCTGGAAAGCAGTCAGGGGATGACGAAATGGGAGATATCATGGAGCTCGTTGCATCTGATGTCTATGTGGCTACACAAATGAGTACAAACACGATGGTTTCGGCTGGAAAGATGGACGAGATGAACGCCCTGGATGCTCTTTGTGAAGAGCTTAAGATCGTCATGGCTTCCGCTGATCGAAATGTGTTCGACTTGGCTTTAGCGGTTGTCCAGTGTACAGGCGAGGAGCTACACGGCACACGTACAAGCGTCAGACTTCGTAATACTGCAGGCACAAGACTGAACACCACGCACCTGTTTGCTGGGGCCTGGGCCAAGCCAGTTCAGACTTATCAGCCTTGACGGGAGCGTAATCGTAGACGACGGGGACAGCGCTACCGGGTTCGCAGACCAAATGTCGATGTGGTTGTTGCCCAGTTTGGCGATGGCAAGAAACTGTCCGTCCGAAGAGAAGCGGCTCCTTGCAGTCATCGCAGACTTTGTGGGTTCCCAGTCGTTGAGCATGTTGAATTCACGGATCAGAGAGGCCTGAATCTCGCCTGGATTCTTGATTTTTGACGCTCCAGAAGACCAAGACGGGGGTTGTATTGGTGTCAAACTGGACTTTGCCAGCTCTCCCTCCGCCTGAGGACTTGAATCTGCAGGGAAAGGACAGAACGCGGGGGACGCAGGGTCACTACAAGCTCCACCATCCACTCGCGCACCCACCGAGTCTTCCTCCACTTCATCCTTCCACTCATCTCCGCCCAGTTCCTCGTCATCACTCAACTCATCAACAGGGAGATAAACTTCTGCTACTCTCGGCATATCTCGCGGGTCCACGGCAGAAGCAGGATCCACATGCGGGCTCTGGTCACTGCTGATCCCAAAGAGCTCCCCAATCTCCTTCATCTGCTTGAGTGACAGCCCGATACTCGCTGTCACGGCGCCGTAGCTGCGACTGCGACTTCTGTTCTTGTTCCGGTCACTCGACACGTCCACGTAACTAGGAGTAGACGCCGAGAAATGCTCCATGAGGTTGTGCTGCACCATCAGGCGAAGGATCGAGTGCAGTTGTCGTCCTGCCTCCTCCAACTTGTTGATCTTCGCCGTCGCTTCGCTGTTGTACAGTCTCAGCCTCGTCGCTTCGGACTGACTCACCTTCAGTCTCACTTTCAGTGTCGGCTCCTCCAGTCGAGCCAATTGAAAGGCCAGAAGCTTCGGCAACGGCAAACTCCGGAACACCAGCGACAGGAAGTTGCGGAACGACGTCACGAAAGCCTCGAGCCAGGCCTGGCTGAAGAAAACCTGAAAGTATGCGTCGCTTTCGGGGCGTTCGATGTACGGCAAGATGAACCAGCGACTCCA